TGTTCAAGGACAGATTCTATCGACATAATTAATGTTTTGTTATTAGAAACTATCTAAAAACATTGAAAAATCAAATAATTAATTGTCTAAACCTCGATTTCAATAATGACACGTAAACAATTAACACGAACTACTTTTCGCGATAGATAAATTCAGTTATCTGAGACCTATGCTTTGAGTATATCATTCGATTATCACATGGATTTACAATAGATAACTAAAATAAAACTTTCACTTATATTTCCGATTTTTCAACCAACATGTTTCTTCTTATCTGAGAAATCTAGTTTCGCATGATATTTTCCATTGCATAATGAATTATTTCAGAGTTCTTCATTCAACTAATATTCCTCTAACGATATATCAAATGTAGTAACATCTGTTGTTGAGATTGAGCTTGGAATTTCTGTAATAATGACATAGAATCGAAGATGTTATGGGATTGGTTTTAGTAAATAAACCAATGAAAAAATAATTCAAAAATTTAAAAAGAAAATTTCTCTTAATTTTTTTTATTTTATATTTTAATCAAAATATTTCGAAAATATAAACTTTCGAAAGAATAAATATCGAGTTTTTTTAATCTTAATATAGATGTCATGTTTTATTCGAATAAAACTAAAATCTAGTTTATTTTGTTTGTTAATGAAAAGAATCTATTTGGAAAAAATATAATTCAAATAATTTATCGTATTGCCTCTATGAAGCTTTTCAAATGTATTTATCAAATATATAAAAATATATATATAAGAAAAAAAATTTCTATTTGAACGAAAGAAAATCGTATATTAATCATTGTGAAGGCTATTCAATATAAAGTCTACAATGCCGTTTAACCAATAAAAATCATCGGAATGAAAAGAGAAAAATGATTCTTTGTTTGACGTATTTCATCGTTCTTTCTCAAATCATACACGCACTCAGTTACTTCTCGAACGAAAATAACGACACAGGCTACCTCTAAACCACATTGTTTTTATTCTTCTATTATTATATTTTAGAGTATCATAAAGCGTAGTTTTTTTTTTATTTATTAGTCGTTCTTTTCTTCTTCGTTTCTTCTCCTTCCTATCAGATAGATTATTGATCTAAAAGAAAATGTCGACAGAAATCGAAACAAAAGGCAAAAAGGTATGAATTAAATTCTTAGTTCGATATATTATGTAATAAAACAAAATAAACTTTTTTTTTCCTTTGTTTTTCTTCTTATTATTATTAGCGTACACATGATGACGATGATGAATCTAATGGAGATGCTGAAACAACGACAACTAGTTCAAAAAAAAAATCTACACCAGTCAAAGCAGCAACATCAACAACAAGAAACAAATCATCACGTAATGATGATGATGATGATTCACATGAAGAATTAGATGATGATTCAAATAGTGTAGAAGTTAATGCTAAAGGATCATCAAAACGAAATGGAAAAGCAACTTCAACTAATGCAGCTGCTGCTAGTGGTAATTAAATCTTTTTTTTTTATTAAAAACACCAAATGCAACTATAGATTTTATATTTTAGGCGATGCTGATGAAGGAGCTGAGTATGATGATGATGATGATGAAAATTCTGATGATGATGGTTTGTTTGTTGAAACAAAAAAAAGAATAATATTATTAATTAAATTATTTTTATTTTTTGTCTTTCTTTAGATTTTAAAGAACAAGGTGAAGGTAGTGAAGGAGAAAGTGATGATGGTAATTATACTTATTACTATATGTGTAGTCAGGTATATCAATATCTATGAAATATATTTCTATTTTAGTTGGTAGCGATGTAGAAGCCGCTGGTGATGATGATGAATCAAAAGATGTTGTTGAAGATGATGATGATGATGAAGGTGAAGATGAATCAAGAGAGTAAACAATCTATTAGCATTCATATATTCACACATGAACTGTTTTTCTTCTTTTGCGTGTGACGTTGAACGTCTTTCTCTTTTTCTCACTACTGATGTCTCACTGATCATATATCAGTCAAATTCAGTTTTGTAGGTATTAGATAGACGTTTTCTTTCTTTTTTCTCTTCTTTTGTTTATCTACATGATTGTTGTGTAGTTTCTTTTTTTTCTCTTTTTCTTTCTGCTGTTTGTCTCTCTCATTCATATGTGTTTGTGTTCTTCGTGTATTATATTTGAAAAAAAAAGAGAAAAAACCTTTTTGTTTATCTGTCTTGTTAACAAATATACACGAAAGAACTATGTCAATAAAAAAAATTTAGTTTTTTGTTCTTGCACTTATTCAAGTCATAAATCATTGCCTTTTTTTTCATCTATAATCTTTTAATCATACAAATCTAAAGACTTCTAATCTATACGAAAACAGTTTATATCATTAGTCAGATATTTTATTGAAATGAAATATATACTATAAAGAAAATTCAGAAAGAAATCTTTAATGTTTTCAGTTCAACGTGAGCATTTTTAAAAATATACATGAATAACAACTGATATATCTTGTTTATTTCATGGATCATTTAATATAAACAAACGTTGTATGCTTACAATTTCTAATGATAAATATCACACATCTCTGTTTTGTTGTTATTGAAAAAATTACTATCGAAAGCATTCGACAGATTTTCTAATCTAAAACAACATATAATAGGTGTTACGGATCAATGAAAAAAAACCTCCATATATCAAATCACAAAATAATCGATGTTAGAAAAAATCTGATTTATAAATATATTTTATTACATAAGTGATTATCAGTTTGATATCTAAATATGATATATAAATCACTCGTTTGATCTCAAATAAAATATTGACGTTATCGAGATGAACAATATTAAAAAAAGAGTCTTCTATAAAATGAATTCAATAAAAATCTTATCATTTTAATGACAAAACATAATTTTTAAAGTTGAGATTTTAATATTGATAATTTATGTACGGTATCAATTAAACTATTAATAACTAACTAATACAAATAAATACCATTACAGATATAGGAAAAAAACTTTTTAATAAATAATAAAATTATATTTGATAGAATCTAGAAAACATTTCTAAGTAAGACAATAAAAAGAAAACATATTGCCATACACATTCTACAGAACAACGTATTTTTTTATTTTTCTATTTATTTTGCAACATATAACACAACTTAGTCCTTGATATTAATAACAAATCTTTCTTGAAAACAAGAAATTGACAATTCGCAAATAGAACTGACAACAATTTATGGCTTCTAATATTTAACATTAACATAAATCAATACAAAGCAATTATTACAGCTAAACAATATTTGATTACCCCACATATTAAGTCATATCAACTTCTCTTCTTCTTTTTATTTTTCAATTCATTTACATTGTTTAATTCAATTCAATGACATATTGATTTCCTATATCATATTAATATAATATAGTTTGATTGATATATCTGGAATATATTCAAAAATATAAATATTACAATTGTGTTGACAACATATTAAATTCATTTTGTCATGCGACGACAAACATAAAAACTATATTGATTTACAAAAGAAATTTCTTCATTATATTTTATCTTGTAAGTCTAAATAAGAATATTTCTAGGTATATATATATGTTCATATTTGTTCTAACTAATATAATTTCCTGTTGTTCATCGTCTATCTATAAAGAATAACACTAGAATGATTAATACCCTTTGGAATTCAATTAGTATAGATATTAAACAAGGTCACTAATCATTTTATATCTATTAACTGATAGTCTTCTATGTTATTAGCTCAGTAATAGTTTCATAGAAATCAAAATATTACATATTTGTCTTTCTAAATACTTGTAATATACACAAGCTAAATTAAGAGCCTAATCTAATATGAAATAATTTATAGAAACGGTTAGAACTAATCAGAAAATGTCTACCATTTTATATATATATATTTATCATAGAGTATTAAATTCATTGCTGTCTATCGATTCTTTACTTATCCTTGACAAAATATTTCGCAATCATCATCATCATCATATTATTGATGAAGTATTATAGTTATTTGGAAAATGAATTTCTTTCTTGTAGATATATGTTTAAGCAATTAAAAAATGTGTAATTATTAATTTAGTTTTTGATCATTGTATATTTTTTATTAGTGATGATGACTAAAAATTATCAACATATCTATATAGATACAATCCCAATGAGATATTACCTAACACATATGGATTCTATTTCTCTTTCTCTTTCATTTTCCTTGATCTCGACTTTCTATACAATGTTATTTATTGGCACAATTAACACTATATCCATATGTTCTTCTTGGTGGATATACTAGATAATAATTTAGTATAAGTCAGAGCAAAGGTTGATGTCTCTATCGTTTTCTTATCTTAAACCATTTAGTTTTTTTTTGTTCTTTATTCTCATTCAACATATCTATATATATCTATATCTATATATATATAATGATGATGATCATGATGAAGGCTAGTTTGTTTTCCATTTTGATAAAATTGCGCTGAACACATCATATATCTGTTCCGTTTGTTTTCTGGTAGATTGCTCATTGATGCAATGATGCAATTATTTTTTTTTTCCTCTTTTCCTTTTTTTCTTATGAAATTATCTACCTACTTATTTTTAATAACGATGTAAAATAAAAGCTTATCCTTGTTACTTCTATTTTATGATAAGCAAACGATAATTATTCAAGTTTCTTATTCTCGTTTTTCTTTTAAAAAATAAATAATTCAACATGGACCTACATATATGAAGGTTATATGTTCATTTATAAATAAACTATACCAATAACTAACTCTCGCTTACTTCCTTCTAAGTTAACGTCACTATTGATTTCTGTTTCCCTCTCTCTCTCTCTTCCGCGTTCTCTCTTATTACTCTCGGCGTATGTAGAAACAACGAGTGGCAACTATGTATTGAACTGTTTCTTATTTGTCATCACTTTTAATGTTTCGTAATAATGACAAATAACAGGAGAAAATTATCAGATTTTTCATAACAGAACACCTAATCATCAATTAATATTTTTTTCATTTCTTTTTGTAGAATATGTCTACTACGGATAACTGGATTAAATTATATCGATGGTGGCAAGAACATTTAAAAACTCGTTTTAGTTCACCAACAGTCATTGATGATCATCAATATTTATTACAACGTCGTCCTTCATTGAAAAATTCACAACTAATAAAAATTAAGAAACGTTCATCCTATGGTGAAATTGATCAACGTCAGCTTGGAAATAACGATTTTCGACATGTACGTGATAGCATCCGAGGAAAGAATCCTCTAACAACACGAATTACACCAATAATTATAACTAATAAAAGGTCAGTTCATCGGAAATAAAAGTATCATGCAAGGTTTTTTCCTCTTTTCATTACTCACGTAAGAAAAGTCATAGTTTACCTGCGAGAAAAAAATAAAAAGATTGCTTCTTTTTTTTCTCTACATGATGAATAATGTCTTATCATTATAGTGGAAATAATGAACATGACTTCTAGAGTCTTTCATCTGTTAGCAAAATAAACGAAAGTAGAATATATTTGAAGCGTGCATAGTCGAAAGAAATGATTGAAGTTAGAATCTTAATAGATCATTTTAAGAATAAGTGATTATTATAATTTAGTTATTGTGTCAACCAGAAAATTCGATATATTAGAAATGAAACCTCGAAAACTAATTATTCATTATAAAATATTAATAAAAAACAAATTCTTTTCATTATATAACATATAATTCGATTTTTGTTTTTTCTATCCGATTAATTGATATCAGTTAATCGTTGTCTATAATAGACGATATTTATTATCGTGTTGAGATAATCCAACACATGTGCAAATCAAAAACGATTGAATATGAAGGTTTTATTAGTTTTGCTAATTATGGAGGTAGGCAAATATCCTTGATTACAAGTCTAGCCATTTGACTTTTATTTGTTTATGCACATGTTACAATAAATCCTTTGATATATTATTGACAAAATGGCACGTAGCTATTTATTTGTCTGACTGTCTAAGAGATGACGCAATTGATGATTGAGATTATATTTTTCTTGATACGATGATAGGAGAGAGAGAGAAAGAAGAGAAAGAGAGAGAGAGAAAACCTTGAATTAACTGGTACAAGTTAATGTACATCTTATCCTATCAAAGACAATCGATTTCTTTAAAGATAAAATTAACATTAATTTATATTTCCTGTTCATATTTAATTATACCATGTTGACAATTTATCTAAAAATATAAACATTATTTTGGAAACACGTATCACGTAACTAATGAGAAAAAGCGGTTGATTTCAACAAACCATATGTATATACATACAGATGCTTGTTTTTCAGTAACATAAACATTGGAAGATAACTGATCGATCGCTGTTGTTGTTGTTGTTGATGTTGTTGTTGTTGTTATTGTTGTTGTGCTTGTCCTTCGTGATTAACTATTTTGATTGACTCTGATCAATGTAGATATTGAGATATATTGTATAGAAGTTAGACACATAAAAGTAACAATTTTTTTTTGCTATAGACTTAATCTAATATTATTTTAATTAATCAAGGTAAAAATTATTTCGATGATAAAAGAAAATCAATATATTTCATTACTATTATTTTAAGACACAATTAGCATATTTTTCTTTAATCATTTGATATTGTGTTTTTTTCTTTTTCTATAAAAAAAACAATTGATTAAAAATGTTTTGTTACTGAATATAATAATTCCGTTTGTAGTATAGTAAAAAAATGACAACGATAAATGATATATAATAGACATTGACGAAAAATATATATTTTTTATTGTCAATCATCTATATTTTTATGTCATAATATTTTGTGTCAAACGATGTATGTTTCTAGTTTTTCTTTTTTTTTCTTCTTATTTTGATCATGAAACAAATAGTTTTTCTTCTATATGCACATAAGATATGTTTTTTCCTATCGACGCAAAAAAAAGAAGAAATAATTTTACGGTAAAATGCGTTTATCATACTCATATTTCATCCTTATTTGCCTGTTAGAAATCAATTTGTTATTAATAATCTTTTTCCGTATTAATGTGCGTATGTATATATAATCTTCGTATTATTAAAGTCATTGATGAACATTATTATATCCGATGTATCTACTAAAAAAAACACACACACATATAATAATCAAGAAAATATTCATTTGACTCTATAACACCTTGAAAAACAACACGCAGATATTTTTGCTGCTTCATTCTTTTCCTCATATGAATACTACGATGACAACACGATCACCCATTGATACTGAATATATAAAAACAAAACGATCTACAAGTATAACTCGTTTTCGTTATCGTTGTCAACAAATGCTGACTTCAACAGACAAAGCTGCAAATAGAAGGTCGGTGTTTTAATTGTATATGAAATAGTAAATCTTTAGAATGAATATTATTCTATTTCTATTGATAATATATATATACACGATGCTTGAGTTATTACGGATTAGAAAATTGACACGTATTGAAATATTATTTTTACATAGTTTCATCGAAATCTTTAGATCAGTTTTTTTATCAACATCATAAACGGAAATAATTATTTTATGTTTCCCGTCCATATATATATATTTATTTGAACAAAAACTTGCTTATCATCATGACCTTAATCAAAAAAAATATTTTTTATTATTCTTCTTATCCATGATCTAGAGCTTCTTTGACATAATAACAGAAAGTTATATATTTTTACATGAATGAATCCATTGACATTGTATTTTATCATAGGTCAACTTGCTATCAATCAATAAGTTAATATCACTTAAGATTGACAATAATGTACATATAAAACATCTATTACTTTATCTTTATTTAATACTTGAGTCGTATATAGATTCATGATATATACATATTATATACAGAAATAGATTTAATGATATGATTTATTTTTAATTCTCTCAGTCCGGATGTTGTCAAATGGCAAGATTTTCCTTAGGGGGGGTACGGCATTTTTTTTAATGACCGGTCTGGAAAGGGCTTTAACATAACAGAAGTTTATTTGAATATAAAAATTTATCAAAATGAGTTGCTTTAGACATCAATTTCGGCGATCAACAACATATGATATATCATCGGAAGAAATTGAATCTAATGAAAATAAAATAATCCCAACCAAAATAACATCAATGAATAAAAAACGTACTCAATATTCACGGCGATTATCACTTGTTAAATTTGAATTATCATCTGTCAATTCAAATGGAACCAAAGGTTTTAGAAAAAAACAAAATTGTTTTTTATTTATATATGTTTTTTTGTTGTTGTTCAGATGAACAAAAACCTACAGTTCCATCTTGTAGTCCTAATCTTATTCAAAAATTACTCTTCAGACAATTTAGTCCAAAAACTCGTCCTTATGCAATTGGTGTTTCTGTAAATATTTATCCGTATTACTAAGGTTGTATTCTTATATTTATCTTTATTCTAGTCTGATGATAATGTATCAACAACAATTCTCACAAATGAACAATCTCCGTAAGTAAAAAAAAATATTATATAGAAAAAAAAATTAGTTTAAATCGAAATAAAAATTTTTTTGTAAGATATTTTTGTTTTACATCAGAGATAATATCTTAGTTAGATTAATTATAGATAAGGCTTTACTTAATTGTTTGGTCGACTTCTAATGCCTAAAGCCATTGACATTGATTAGCAAAACAGATTAAGATTGTTTTGAGTCTTCAAATCGAGAAACAATATACATCTACAAGGACTAATTACGTCAATAGAAGACGAAACAAATTTTATCAATGTTTTTTTATATTTTTTCAATTAGTAATCGACGACGAACAAATGTTTTAAGTAAAAAACAATCATGTGCTAGTTTAACATCGGCAAATAATTCGAAACAAAATGGTGGTGAAACATTATTAGTACCATTATTTAATAAAGCATTATCAAAAAGTCAACAATCTGATTTAAATTCTTATTTATCAAAACGTCGTAATACAACTGGAAGTATATCATTTAATAAAGTTGTTGATGTTAAAAATATTTCCAATGGAAATAATTTAAAAATAACATCAGCTAATAATTCAAATAATAAAATTTCAACTGAAAGTAAAAAATAAATATAGTTTTTTTTTTAATTAAAATTTTATGATTCAATTTTTGTAAAGATATTTTTCAAACAGTTGAAGAATCGGATTTTCTTGGAACGAAACATTTAATTCAAACAAATGAAAATATTATTAATTCGTACGTAAAAAAACAAAAAATTTTGTTAGAAAATAAATTTATTTTTTAGATATAATGATTATGATTGGTGTCCGTTGGATATAGCTATTATGCTTAATAATATTCCAATGGTACGACTTCTTTTACATTATGGTGCTAATGAAAGTGAAAAAAGTAGATTCTTTTTTTATTTGAATTTCGAAATAAAATATAAATTTGATTTTTTGTTAAGTTCAACCAGAAGAAATTCGTTATCAAAGTGTTTGTCAACAATTATCAAATCTTTCTGAACAGATTTGTGATGAATCAATAAAAAAATATTCATCAAATCGATTAACACCAGATGATGCATCAGTAAGAATTTTTACAATTGTATCTAAATTATCTTGCGGAATAAAGTGAGACAAGGTCTCTTTTTTTCTTTACCCGTGAAAGTTTAAAGTTCTTCTATTGCAAGGACATTATTCGGCATCGAAGGTTATTCATCTGCTATTGTTAAAATAATGTCAGGTCATTAGTATAAATCGATTATTTTCCTAATCATTTAACTTGTCTATACATCAGTTTTATATAAAAGTATTAAAATCTTTGAATATGAGATAACATGAGACCAAGGTCAATTACATAATGTAAATAGAACTTCTCGACGATTAAATATACAAAGTCTCGACGATATATTGATGAAAACTATCATATTACTTATCAATAGGACTAAATTACAGTTAAAATACAAGTTTTAATTCATCAATGTGTAAAAATCAGCTGCGTAGTACTATTTATTTGTTATGTATTACACGTATTTTATTAAACTAAAACTAATAGACTTATGAATTTTCTCTTAGTTACGTCGTTTATCACCATCATCCGACAAACAACATCGTCATCGTCGTACTAGTAAAAGTCAATTACACTATCAATTAAATCAACAACGTTCATTAATGTTATCACAAATGAAAGATAATTATGAACAAGCAGGTAAAAATCATATGATATATAAAATAAATGACGTACTTTGTTTTTGTCAAATATAATTAGATACGTGACCGATGAAATTAAGAGAATTTTTCTTGCCGTACTAAAACAAAAGAAAAAATATCTAGGTGTTAAATAAAATATTCTCGAGTCTTTCTTATTTTATTATTTAACTAATAAGTCCTATGGATAGAAGACAAAAATTTCGTTCATCAGTAATAATTGTTAAAAATGCACTTAAACTTTTAATAAAATCTGAAAGAAAATCTCCTGAGATTATTTATCAAAAACGTAAGTTATTTATATAAAATAGAAATTTCTATAATATTTCTACTATTAGATATTCCGGATGCACCAACAAATGTTCGTTTAATGGTAACTGGTTCCGATAATATAACAGTAACATTTGATGAACCACTTCGATCAAATGGAGTTATGGTTATTAAATATAAAAGTAAATTTATTTAGTTTTTTTTTTGATTATAAAATAATATTTAATTCTATGAATTTTTAATTAGTTGAATGGAGTTTTGATGAATATTTTCATGATATATCATTTGATATAATTAAAAATTGTTTTCTACGAGAATATATTATTCGAAATCTTCCTGTTGGACAAAAATGTTATGTACGTGTATCAGCTGGAAATATGAAAGGTTTTGGTCAAACAGTTCTTGCTAATCCACCTTATTGTGTACCATCGAGTATGTTCTATGAAAATTTATTTATAAGAATTTTTTTGTTTTATTTAACTAGATTGGCGTGAATTTTCCAAAACATCACGTACAAATATATGTGATTTACGTTTTGAAGAAATTCTTAATAAAATACTCACTGAACGTGAACGAGAAGGAAATGGTAAACGTTTTTTTTTTGTTTGAAATTTTTCAAAAATAGAACTTGATTGATTTTTATAATTAGAACCAAATGAAACACCAAATATTAGAAATCGTCGTCGAAGTTATGGAAATCTTCGAAAAAATCTTCGTCAGTTATTTCAATTCTATCCTCGATTAGCAAGATCAATGAAACGGTAGAAAATTACACAAGAAAAACAAATTTCTAATAATCAAATTATTCTTTGTTCAGAGGTCTTTATTTAGTATCAGTCATGGTAAATGGTGATCGAATATTAGTAACAAATGAAGATGTTTTACCCATGGTTGAAGTTGATGAAAATTATGGTCATAATTTATTAGGAGATTTTCAATGGTTTATGAAATTAACATTTGTTTGGGATGATTTAAAAAATTTAAGACCTGATTTAGAACGATGTTTAAGTGTAACATCATTTTATTTAAGAATTAAACTTGTTCAAGCAGCAATTGAACTTCAAGTAAGATTTATTTACTTATTAATAGTTTCTAACGTCATAACTATCCTTCGCATTTGATAAGAATATTATCAATAGTCGTCTCGTCTACGAATAAGTGTTAATAAAATTAGTCTCGGTATTTCTATACTCTATAAGATTGAGACATAATGAATTCTTTATGTTATAATATTATCTATGAATCTGACAAAGAAACATACTCATGTATTGAGTTATTTGTTTCCAAGGATATCAATTAATTTTGTTATCACAGTTGAGATTGACATTGAAATTCAAAATATATATTTAGACATTAGAAGAAATAAATAATCTTGGTCGTCTTCATCATACTTATATTCGTGATAATGATGGTAATGTAGCATTTATATTAATCAATGATTTATCATCGGATACACGTGCAAATATTTGTCCATCAAATTTAAAATGGATAACAATGACAAAATTTTTTGAAACAATCAAAGAATCAACAAATAATTCTTGTCTTCAACAAATAACTGAAAAACTTCCAGTATGAATAATAAAATTTCATTTTTTCTTCATTTAACCTATTTTTTTTTCTTTCTTTCTAAGAATATGATTGATTTTTATCATGCATCAATGCGTCGTCTAGATTCTGGTTTATATGTTGCATATTTAAAAATGCAAAATAGTGTCGATTCTGTACGTGTTATGGTTAATAAATTTATGCCCGGTTCATTACCATGTACAAAAATACGTTCAATTGCAAATGTATCTCGAGATGAATGGGAATGGTTACATAATAATAATAATGAAAGTTCAACAGATGATGAATCTTCAGATAATAGTCTTGAATTATTTAAAACTCAATTTCGTCATGCAGCAAAAGAATTATTTATTATACTTAGTAAGAAAAAAACTCTATTTACATAATAAATACATATATATTTATTTAGATCTTCCTGAAACCCATTTTTCAAATAGTCGAATATATGATTCACAAGTTGTAGAAATACGTGATGATTTATCATTAATTATTTTAATGTCAACAGCTGATGAAGTTAATATACTTTCTGCACCTTCCAATCATTCATTTTCATCATTTATTTATTTACCTTTATATATTTTTGAAGTTTGTAAGTATTAACATGAAGTTCTAATAATGTTTGAAAGAATTATTTTTGAATTTTATTTTAGTGCAACATTTAAGTAATAATTATCGTTTCATATGTCAATATAGTCGTGTATCAATTTGTCTTGATTTTGAATTAATTTGTGCACAACAAAATCAACGTGAAGCATTTTCAATCAATGAATTAGATGAAACACGTTATCGTCTTAATCATTTATTATCTTGTCAACAAGATCTTGATGATATATGGCGTTTATCACGTTGGCTTGTACATGTTATAAATTGTGCGAAAGATAAAACATATTCTGGTATATCACTTAAATCATTTCAATCATCAACAAATTTTAATCAAATCAAAACTGATGTACAATTATTTCAATCAGAAAATTATTCAATGAAAAAAAGTGATAGTGGTTTTATAGATATTGATGATCATTCAATTGAATTAACATTTTATATATCATTATTATCATCAAATACATATAATCCATTTAAAATTCGATTAAATAAAATGACAAAATTAAATGATATTTTACAAATTATTTTAAAAGAACAAGAAAAACATTTTTTTCAATTAAATTCATCAATAAATTTTGTTTGGATACGTTCAAATGGACGGGAATATATAATTGAAGAAAATTTAACAGCTTACGATATACAAAAACGTCTTGGAAATTTTGGTGGACAAATTTATTTACGTGCAAAAGATTTATCAATAGGACATTCGTCACAATCCATTGAAAAAACACCATGGTTATTTGCACCAACATCAGAGACACATTCAGGATTACCTGGATCAAATTTAAGCTTAAATATTTAAAAACAAAAAAACGAATGTTCATACTTTTTTTTGTCTTCTCTGTAAATTATATAGCAACAATAAATGTCATGTGATATGATTTAAAAGAAATATACAGCAAAGCACTCGATAAATTTCAAGTGTAGATTGAGTTAATCTTTTTTTTGTGACAGACACAATTGCAAATTTTAATTTGCTCTCGTTCTCTATATAGTTCTAGAATAATTTAATACTAAATTCAAATATACACCTGAAATTTTCTCATTTTTAATTGTTACTCAGTCAATATGATAAGACACATGTATTTTATCTTTCCTTACCATAAAAATACTTTCTTTTAGATTCATTTATCAAAGTGTTTCAAATAGCTCATTATTCAAAACTTGTTTGTTATTCTAAGAAAACATTTTAATGATGTTTAATTATTTGACAAAAGATCGATTGGAATATTGACATGTAGAATTATTTATGTTTACTTTTTTTGATTACAATCGAGGTTATTTTACGAGAATTTCATCATATTTTCAAGGTTTAAAATATAAAATAAGGTTAACGAGTAAGTCAAACAAATTCTACATATAATATATAAAAATATAATCAATAATTAAACGTAAATTTATTTGATTTTCATCTTATTCTAAGTAATTATTCGATTGATAATCGGTTTTTCACAACGGTTTGTTTTGCTCAATTCATAGACAAAATAACATCTTGTTAATTAAACATGGTGAACAGTTTTCTCTTCCTTTTTGTCAATTGGTTATTATATTTAAGATATTATTATAGTTTTATTTTACTAGGCTTTAATCAAATTACGATAAAACAGAATAATTAAATTGATTTATGTCTGATTTAAATTTATAAATAAAATAAATAATATAAAATTAAAATTAAATATTAAAATGGATGTGGGTGCGGATGAAGAAAAAGTAGATACACTCACATCCACATCCACACCGTCCATCTTTGTCATCTACATAATGACCGCATGTATGCTTTGACTCGGAAGCTAATTTAAACATCAATTAAATTTCATGTCTACTAATTAGTAATCAGCAAACATATTGTCAATCTTGTACCATTCATCAAATATCTGATCATATTAAAAACACTTTTTTTCTCACTTACGATTCTTAAATAACAAACATGACTCAACACGTTTTTTTTGTCTGCAGAAGGAAAGAAGTGAATTCTTTTTCGCGGAATAACTCGATGTTTGTTGTTCATAGCAACATCAAAAACAGCTAAAGAAAAGAACAACGTTTCGCAAGGAAGTAGGCACCTATATAAAAAAAGTCATTTTTGATCATTAATTGACTACTAAATTTTACAAAGTAACTCCAATTCAAATCATTCACGAAGCAAACAATGAACAAAGAAAAAACAACAATAAATGCATTTACAGTTCCACAAGGTGCAGTTCAACAAATGCAAAATGTTCTCCTAATCTGGTTAGACGGTAACATTGACGAAACAAATGATGATTGTCAAAATACAATCAAAAGATTACGATGTGCTGTTGAGGACATTAAGACATATACAAATGGTGATCAATGCCTTGAATTTATTGAAACAGTCGTCGATAAGAAGGTATGTATGATTATGCCTGGATATCTTGGACACCGTATTGTGCTTCGTGTGCACAATATGTCTCAATTAGATTCAATTTTCATTTTTTGTGGTAATAAAACACTCCATGAACAATGGGCCAAAGATTGGCCCAAAATAAAGGGTGTCTTCACAGATATTACACCCATCTGTGAAGCACTCAAGGAAGATGCTGATCGATGTGAGCAGGAAGCTATTCCCATCAGTTTCATGAGACCAAATGAAAAGTTGGATCAATTAGATCCTTCTTTTATGTACACCCAAATCATCAAAGAAATCTTACTAACCATCAAATTCGGCCAAAACGACATACAAGATTATATCGATTACTGTCGCGTTGTTTTTGCCGAAAATGAACTAGAAATTGAAAACATTGAACGGTTACAAAGTGAATACCACAACAAAACACCAATTTATTGGTACAGCTACCCAATGTTCTTGTATCCCATGATGAATCGTGCATTACGATCGATGGATGGTGATATCATCACACGGATGGGCTTCTTCATTTGTGATCTTCATCGACAAATTGAACAAATGCACAAGGAACAATATGGTGGTGCAACTGCTGCAGACCCCTTCACCGTTTATCGTGGTCAAGGTTTATCTACAGCGGATTTTGAAAAAATGACTACAAATATAGGTGGTCTTATTTCATTCAACAGCTTCTTATCTACCAGTATAGTTCGCGGAATTTCAGAAGAGTTTGTTCAAGCTGCTATAACAAATCCAGATCAAGTGCGTGTTCTTTTTATTATGGAAGTTAATCCTACTGAATCAACAACACCATTTGCTTCGATTGCTGGTCTTAGCGAGCTCCCACGAGAACAGGAACTCTTGTTTTCGATGCATAGTGTTTTTCATATTCAGGATATTAAACAGGTGGATGAAAATAATCGTTTATATGAAGTTAACTTGGTACTTACTGCTGACAACGATCCAAAATTGAAAAGACTTACAGATTACATTCGACAAGAGAGTTTTCCAAACGATGAGGGATGGTACCGACTGGGCTTGGTACTATGGAAAATGGGTTTATTTGATAAAGCTGAAGATATTTATCAAGTTTTACTTGATCAAACAACGAATCACAAAGACAAAGCACCTATTTATCATCGCCTTGGTACGATCAAATATGATCAAGGAAACTATCGAGAAGCACTATCATCTTATCAAAAAGCCCTTGAAATTTGGCAGCAATCACCTACGCCCAATTATCCGGATTTGGCTTCTTCATACAATAACATTGGTTTAGTGCACATAAACATGGGTAATTATTCGAAAGCACTTTCATCTTATGAAAAAGCTGTTGAAATCCAACAACAATCACTTACTGCGAATCATCCTGATTTGGCTTCTTCATATAACAACATTGGTGAAGTGCATAGAAACATGGGTGATTATCCAAAAGCACTTTCATCTCTTGAAAAAGCTCTTGAAATCAAACAGCAATCAATTCCTTCCAATCATCCTGATTTGGCTAACTCGTATAATAACATTGCTTCAGTACGTTACAACATGGGTAATTATCCAAAAGCACTTTCTTATTATGGAAAAGCTCTTGAAATCAGACAACAATCACTTCCTTCTAATCATCCCGATTTGGCTTCTTCCTACAACAACATTGGTTTAGTGCATCTACACATGGGTGATTATCCGAAAGCACTTTCGTTTCATGAAAAAGCCCTTGAAATCAAGCAACAATCACTTCCTCCCAATCATCCTCATTTCGCTCCTTCCTACAACAACATTGGTGAAGTGTATGCCAAGATGGGTAATTATCCAAAAGCACTTTCTTATTATGAAAAAGATCTTGAAATCAGTAAAGAATCACTTCCTCCTTATCATCCTGACTTGGCTATATCCTACAATGACATTGGTGAAGTGCATGCCAAGATGGGTAATTATTCAAAAGCACTTTCATCATATGAAAAAGCTGTTGAAATCCAACAACAATCACTTACTACGAATCATCCTGATTTGGCTTCTTCATATAATAACATTGGTGAAGTGCATAGAAACATGGGTGATTATCCAAAAGCACTGTCATCTCATGAAAAAGCCCTTAAAATTCAAGAACAATCACTTCCTTTCAATCATCCTGATTTGGCTAAATCCTACAATAACATTGGTTCAGTGTATTACAACTTGGGCAATTATTCAAAAGCACTTTCTTATTATGAAAAAGCTGCTGAAATCCAACAACAATCACTTTCTCTCAATCATCCTGATTTGGCTTATTCCTACAACAACATTGGTGAAGTGCATTACAGCATGGATAATTATCCGAAAGCCTGTACATTTTATGAGTATGCTATACAAATTGCACAACAGTCATTACCTTCAGATCATCCGAACATTCAAAAGTATAGAAGTAACCTCGAGGATGTAAAAAACAAACAATAATTTATATTGTTATGAATTTTATTTTATGAAGAAGAAAAAATAATCTTTCTAAATGAGAAAACAATTGTTTAAAATGCGCGTGAGTACAGAGAGACTGGTCTTGCTGAGACACAAATGGGTGGTAACACCCATAGTCTTTCGAAGTTTCTACCTTTTATTCAACAAAATCGGCAAATCTTCTTAGATTTTTTATCAAAGATAATGCCACAGCCCCCAAAAAATCGCAAAATTTATCTTTTTTACTTCAGAAAATTTTGCTACACCCTTTTCAAATATTGGCTTATTCGCGCCACCCCTGAAAGTGTCTTTTCTTTTTCTATCCAAATCCACATCGTCTCTACTGAATTCCAGCTATTAAGTAAAATTCTTCTCTTTACCCTGCGCAATATCCATCATCTCTATCTTTTTCTAAAAAAAAAGACGAGCTATACTACTGGTATTTCAAATTTTATTTAAGTTAAAAGAACAAAAATAGAACATGTTTTCAATGATTTATGCTACTGTTGATACTACCACATTTGATCGGCATTTCATCCTTTTCATGACAGATACTTTAAGCGGAGCCGTAACTAGAAATAAGAGAATCAAAAGCGGAAACATTGCAAAGTACATAGGTATATAAGCTATACGAAAGTGATATTTGGGCGCACGATTGAAAAATGACATAAACGTAAACAATGTTAGTGGGAGAAATGTTAGGATCATGACTATGATACGTATGACAATGCGTTCAACCATTTTTAGCTCTCTTTGTGCACGAAGTAAAGTGTTTGTAGGTATCGTATGTCTACGTATTTCTTTCACATATCGAACCAACTCAAAATAATAGAATACAATTAACAAGATAGGAATTCCATAGGTAAAAAATGACATATAAAGTATTGAGAAAGAAAGTCGAAGAGGTAATTGACATATTTGATTATCGACATTGTAGATAATTTCATCGTTAAACAAAAATGCAAAAGCATATAAAAAACTAATTATCCATGATATACAAATGATTAATGCTTGAAATCGAATTGATCGGAAGTATAATCGACTAGGATAAACTACAAGAACATATCGATAAAAAGCTTCTACTGCATTCGAATAATTTTGTGCAGCACCTACAGCATAAACCATATAACCTCGAAAAACACAAAGTGAATCTTGATATTGGACTTGTCGAAGATCATTTATAAGTGTAAATACACATAAACTAAGTAAAACACATCCAAGTACAAATGCACTTAATAATCTATTAGCAGTGAACATCATTGGTACTGTATGGCATGTTTTATCAATTGATATAACAATTAAAAATATCATACCAAGTATAACGGCTAAGGTAATAGGAATAATCATAAGAATATCCAACGGAATAAACCATGATTCAACGATTGTCATAGTCAAGTTCATTTTCCAAGTAAATTAAGCAACTGATTAAAAAAAACAGAAAGCTTGACAACTAGTATACTTCAACGTTTCATCTATTGAATAACTCATGCACGATAATTTGACAAACGACGACTTTCTATGTAAACATAAAGAATGTATTCATCATTATTTCTTTTTTTCTTTACAAGATATAAAAAGTACATTAGAAAACGCAGAGCGTAAGTAATTTTTTGTTTTTTTTAGATTCTACTCAATTATGAACTCAGCAACTCTTTTTAAACTGTTGACGTCAATATGTTACATGATTATTAATATCTATAGTCTGATTCAAAAAAACTTGCACAAAATTTAATTTTTTGTATAACGATTTTCTTACTGTTAGATATACTACACGTTGGATATATAAAAGTGTGATTTCTCTTCTTTTTGATATATTAACATTTACTCATGACATAATCTACTGATTTAAAAAACTATCATATTATATTGACACTACGTTATTGTAACAGAGGCATGGATTGCGCTCGTGCTATTCATCATGAAATAAAGATATCATCAAGGACTATGTGCTACACGGAAATAGAAAAAACCTATATTGCTCAATATATTCGATGTAAAAATTAAATAATCCTCAATGAAATTAAAGAAAAAGTATCGACAACTAATGGTTCATATTAAGCTCATACACTAAAAAATTGTCTTCTTTCTGTTGCTAGACAAGAATTTCGTCAAAATTGGTGTTTACAACAAGATAATGATCGTAATCATACTCACAATATTTTCAAACAATTCATCAACAATAAGATATTAGAATTATTGGAGTGCTCATCTGATACTCCAAACGCTGATTCTATCGAGAACTTGTGGTCGATTGTAAAACGCAAACTTGAAAAAAGAAAACCGAAAAATATTGATGAACTAGAGCTTTTTTTATGTGAAGAATTTAAAAATGTTGATGTCGATGAAAAAACGATGTTTGTTTCTTATTGAATCTTAAGGCGAACGAATAAAATATGGAAGTATAGTGTTTAAAAGCACTCGACATAGGCTATCAATCAGTAATGGATTTTTCAATGACTGGATTATACTCGATTAGAATAAATACTGCATCATTAGCAAACTTACCATATTTGAATTATTTGACGAACAAGATTTCATATCAATGAAATTTACAATCACAATCGTTATTTGTTTACGACGACTATCAAATAAAACCAGACATAGATATATAATTTGTGAAGGATCGAAAAGAACACAAGCTTTATGTCTTGCCTTTAACAACATTCTCGAGTTCCTTATTTTTTTTTTTGAAGAAGTTTTCTATTTCTTAACAGATCTTTTGCTAATAATAGTAGAACTTCAGACGGATATCATTACATGGACATGACACCATTGTATAATTAGGAAGAATTTTCTTTTTTTATATCTGCTGGTTTTTATGGATATAGGACTTATTAGGATCACGAACTGCAGATGGTTATGAAATGAAATTTGATTTCTTTATAATATCTGCTTTATTTTTATTATTTGGTCAAATATTAGTGACAATAAAATACATTTCCTGCTCACTAAATGTTCTACAGTACTCCTTTTTTCAATAGTAGATTACTTGTTTTAGAGAAAGAAAAACGAGTCATATTACACTTTATATACATAGCATTTTGAATACCATGCGGTGATTTCTCCTGATGACGATGAAAAGTCAAGAATTCAGTTAAAATTCAATGGAAGTCAAACCATTTTGAATTGATTGTTGATTCATTAGGATGGTATCCTAATTAAAAAAATTGATGTACATTTCTTCTTTACTCACACCCACACCCTCAAGATGGTTTATTGGGATTAGTAGGAAGAACAAAAAATAATAGACAACATTTATATTAAAAACATAAGTTACAATTTAACATCTACATACACACAAAACTACAAGAGGTTACACAACGAAGAACTTTGTTTTGAACTTATTTCATCGTTGGATAAGTCTGAAGAAGATATTCTACGTTTTTCTGACGGGTAGACTTGAACCTGTGTTTCTGCTACTTGCATAAATGGTAACTGAATCCTCTTTACTTGACTAACAAAAGCCTTGCTTAACTGATCATGCAATTTTCTATCTGGGATACGCAAGTATACTGGTTCCTCATGTTCATATACAACGATAACGTCCTCTACAATAATCACTGCATTACCTTGTAAAACTGTCACAAGAGTTGCAAAAGAAAGCCAAACACTATTTTTTGTGTTCAGAAAAGTCTCTATTAATTGCAGTGAGCTGAAACACTTCAGATCATTAAATAGACCTTGATCTGTATAAGTATGAAGTGTAGCAACTGTATTCGAATCTAATTGTATCAACATTGAGAAAAAAGACAAAAACTTTTCAAGTATTGAATGCATAGCACGTATATCAATATGGTCTTCATAATTAAAACATCTTAATAATCTTTCAATCACTTCATTAGTTGCTGCTCTTTCACCCATTTTCCCCAATGCTTCATATGCATAATGTCTCACATAGTTATTCTCATCTTCAAGAGCAATCGCTAGCGTACTAATGACTTCATTCATTGCTGCTTTGACACCCATTTCTCCAAGCGCTTGACATGCACTTATTCTTACATACGTTATCTCATCTTGAAGTGCAATCACTAGTTTACTTATCACTTCATTCATTGCGGCTTTTTCTCCAATATTTTTGAGAACTTGACATGCATTCATTCTGACATTTTCTTTCTCATCTCCAAGTGCATTCAATAGCATCTTGATAATATCATTCGTTGTCACTTTTTCACTCATCTTTCCAAGAGCTTGACATGCACTTATTCTAACATACTCATCTTCATCTTCTAATATAGTTACCAACTTCTTGGTTATTTCATTTGTTGCTGCTTTATCACTCAGTTTTCCAAGAGCGCGACATGCATACCGTCTAATATATTCATTCTCATGCTCAAGTACAGTCAGTAGCCTGTTAATTACTTCATTTGTTGCTGCTTTTCCACCTATTTCTTCAAGAGCTATACATGCACTCATCGTGACATCTTCATTCTTATCGTCAAGTACAATTACTAGTTTACTGATGATTTCCGTCGTTGCTACACTTTCACCCATTTTTCCTAGAGCATGGCATGCACTTTTTCTGACATAATGATTATCATCGTCAAGTGCACTCACTAGTTTACTGATCATTTCATTCGTTGCTGCTCTTTCGCCAATTCCTGCGAGAGCTTGGCATGCGTATTGTCTGATACACTTATTCTTATGTTCGAGTGCAATCATTAGCTTGCTAACTACTTCGTTTGTTACTGCTTTTTCACCAATTTTTCCGAGAGCTAAATGTGCATATTGTGTTACATATTCATTCTCATGTATAAGTGCAGCCATCAATTTGCTATTTATATCAATCGTTGCGTCTTTTCTACCTATTTCGTCAAGAGCAATACATGCACTCATTCTGATATTTTCATCCTTACTATTAAGTGCAATTACTAGATTCTTAATCATTTCATTCGTTGCTGTAGTTTCACCTATTTCTCGAAGAGCGATACATGCAGATCGTTTCACATTTTCATTCTTATCTTCGAGCATTACAACTAGCTTATTTATCACTTCATTATTGGCTGCTTTTCTACCCATTTTTCCAAGAGTTTGACATGCACTCATTCTGACATACTCATCCTCATCTTCAAGTACAATCACTAGTTTATTGATCACTTCATTTGTTGCTGCTAGTTCACCCATCTTTCCAAGAACTACACGTGCATATTGTCTGACATACTCATTCTCATGTTCAAGTGCTGTTAGTAACCTGCTAATCACTTCATTTGTTGCTGCTTTTTTACCTATCTTCGCAAGAGCTATACATGCACTGATTCTGACATCTTCATTCTCATCGTCAAGTACCATCAATAGCTTATTGATAATTCCGCTCGTTGCTGCCCGTTCACCTATTTTTCCTAGAGCGTCACATGCACTCTTTCTCACATATTCATCCTCATCTTCGAGTACAACTACTAAGTGATTGATTATTTCAGTCGATACTGTACTTTCACTTATTTTTCCAAGAGCATCACATGCACTTTTTCTGACATCATCAATTCTATCGTAAAGTACAATAAGTAGATTGCTGATGACTTCTTTCGTTATTGCCTTTTCATTTATTCCTGATAGAACTTGACATGTGTATTGTCTAACGTATTCATTCTCATGTTTAAGTGCATTCATTAGCTTACTGATCAGATCATTCATTGATGTTCGTTCCCCTATTTTCTGAAGAGTGATACATGCACTCATTCGAACATTCTCATTCTCATCCTTAAGTGTATTCACTAGATGACTGATCACTGCATTCATTTCTACTTTTGTGCTCACCTGCCCAAGAGCTTGACATGCACTCATCCTAACATACGCATCGTCATCTTCAAGTGTAGTCACTAGTCGATTAATTACTTCACTTATTGCTACTTTTTCACCGATTTTTTCAAAAGTTATACATGCATATCGTCTAACATTCTTATTCTTATCTTCAAGTGCAATCAACAGTTCACTAATAACGTTATTTGTTGCTGTATTTTTACCTATGTTGCAGAGAGCTTTACATGCAAATCGTCTAACATCAGAGTTTTTATCTTGAAACGCTCTAACTAGTGAACGGAGCAACGTTTGTGATACATTTACAAATGATAACTTAGAAATTAGACGACAGACTTTGATTTTTGTAGCTGACTCTTTGTTGCGAAGTAATTTGATGAAAACATCAATTACCGATTGCAGACGACCTAATGAGGGATACAAATCTAATGAAAGGACGAGTTGCTCATATATAGTGTTATATTGTGTCAACACAGCGAACTCTATCCATCTAGTTATGAAATCAGATAACTGAGCATGCAGAGAAAGATGTAAATGATGCCTAGATTGCTCAATACAAGAAATAATTAATTGTATATGTCTTATACCGACTATATCTAACGATTCTCCTAGTATGATATTCCAGAATGTATTTAAGAAGAGATGAGAATTACTTTGCGCAAGAAGGCCGGATACAAACGCAAAAAGTAATGTATAACGTTGATTATACTTATTGGTTTTGATAAATTCGATTGTTTTCTGGCGTGATGAACCATTCAGAGTATTAACTAAGTATCGTGCTGCAAAGTATTCTTGAAAACTGAAATGAACAAAATAATGATCTTTGTTTGTTTCAAATTGATTATTGTTTTCCTGTTTGTCAAAATTTTGTAGAACACCCATATTAAGAATATATGGATATTCTTGTACAGATAATTTCATTTCATTCAATGCAGCTCTTAGTAAAGATGGTCGTAAAATAATACTGTTACTTTTCATTGCGTTAAATGCTAAATTTTCTAAGAATGTCAATTCTTTACGACAATGTTCTTCAACATCATTCGTGGATATTTGTAAGGTTCGATCAGTTAATCCCTTTAAGTATCGTTCACATAGTGATTTTGTCATCATTGTATATAATTTTGTTATTGTTAGTTCTTTTGTTTCTGTCCAATCTTCATGAGTCCAAAGACTACAAATCAATTCTAGATTAATTGGAATATGTGCTATGCTTGAAATACTTTGATTTATATTTAAGAAATTCAATAAAGTTTTACTCTTATTTGATGCGTTGTTTATTTGATGAAAAAATTGCTGAACATATTCTTCAATATTCTGATCGGTAAAACCCATAATTTCCATTTGTACATTGTATAATAATGTATTCATGCATGAACGGGAAGTCAAAATATGGTGTGGTGTGATGAGTAATTGTTTGAATAAGGATCCCAAATGTGGTGGTACATTTTGTACAATTTCATCATATCCATCCAAAACCCAGAGTGTTGTTTTAGCATTGAATTGTTTTTTCAAAAGTTTGGTATCATATTCTGATAGATTGTCGTTGAAAAGTTCTTTTTTAACGAGATCTAAAAGAGAATAATTTTTGTCGGGTGGATAGCGATTTGCTGTCAAATGACGTAATGGAATAAAAACAAGTAGTTTGTATTGTGACCAGTGTGAACCCATGGCCCATTGGTAGGCAACATATCGACAAAATGCTGATTTACCAACTCCAGCTCGTCCGGTTATCAACAGCTGCTTCTCTTGGCTTTTACAGATTTCAAAAATGTCTTTGATATCTATATCAGCTTTTATGTCATCGATATCTTCGAAATTAGTTACAGCAGCGTTATTAAGCTGAGCTTCATAAATTTTCTTTTTTTTATCATGTAGATCTTTGGATTTTACAATATTTAAATTAATGTAATTTTGTTTGATTGGATAAGATTTATTTGGATCCATAATAAATCCAATATGAGTATTTTGTGTTCGCATATATTCATATTTAATTATTTCCGTTAGATAGGTTAATTCAGAAGTTGATTCCAATGAAGAAGATTGTTCTTTTATTCGATTGATTAATTCCTTTGCTTTCGATCGTATAGTTTCTTCTGAATCATCTTTAAAATTTACATACAATAGTCCAGCTGTTATCAATCCTAACCAATCAGACGGCTTCCATCCTTTTTGTTTGGTCACTATACATGGGAGAATTCGTTTTCGTCGTGTTTGAGCATACTTCAGTTCAAGTTTGCAATTGTCTGATTCCTGATATTCTGGTGACATGAAACAACAAACAACAGAAGCATTTTCTACTCCTTCCGC